GATACAACTATATCCATTGCCCTGAGTAACATCTTTCGATCCAGTTGATTTATCATATTTAAATCGAATAGAATGCGCTTGAGACAGCGGCGACCATGTACCTCCGAAATCAATACTTCCATTGCGCCATCCTCATTTAGGATTGCACTAAAGACGCGTTTTGTTGTCTCGAGAACAAATACATATTCATTATTCTTTTTATTGTCAGCCAAATAGGCCCACAAAAGAAGCTCAATGCAATCATAAAAAAGTTTTCCAAAACCAGGTTCATCGCAATGGCGTAAGTTCCGTATGATAACAATGATGATTAATAGCGAAGCAAAATTAGTGTTCCATCTCACTTGCAAATCAGGACGTAAAATGGTTCGCGAAGAATTATTACGGAAATGAAAAACAAGGGTTTGAATAGATGGCAGATAAACCTTTGGAAAACGATGCAGAGCCTGTGACAACTCTTCAAAGAAAATCTTCAACTCTGATATCGGTGCCTTCATGCACCGTTTTAGCATGACATTCAATATTTTCTCATCGTCATTTTGAGAATCTGAGAGGTCTTCCAAGAGTTCAATTAACTTTTCATCCATTAATATCAATTGTCCTGTTTTTTTAACACTATCAAGCATATAATATCTACGTATAAGGAATTTATGGTTACTCTTTATAATTAGGTGTATCTACGTATATACGTACGGACGTGCGTACTTTTTGAAGTCAGAACAGTATAAATAATTTCCATACTTGGAAACAATGACGCTTAAGTACATACGTACGTACTAAGACCCACCCTAAAAAAATTTCGTCACCAGCGTTAGGATTAGGATTTGGGGTTATTTTTGTTTTGATTTTATGCGTGAACAGGGTAAGGGTAACACACCAACTTATCCGGAAGATCAATTTCCAAGAAAGAATAAGTTGTACCATGAACCAATCCGAAGCCAAATTCCGATTATCAAAACAACACGTATCAAACAGTATATAGTTATTTTCAAACAACTTTATTTTTAGAATAAGAAGTTATAAAACAATACTATAGAGTAGAATTATATCGCATTAAATAAATGAAATGCATTGTATACATAGTTTAGCCTTAGAAAAATGTATTTAAACTTTGACTTTTGACTTTTAATTATTCTTGCGCTTAATTTAAAATTAATTTCTTTCCGCTCATTTATTCGACTTAATATCATTTCGCTAATTAAACTTGACCAATATTACCGACCCATTTTTCAAATTAAAACGAAGTAATTAAAGATTGGGCAAGTATTTTAGGTAAAATTGCTCTCTCGACATTTTTTATTAGTGCTTCAAGACAGGATGCTCGTTTCTTTATTTTCGGTTAATCTATGTAGATCACTCAATTCAATCTGATTGGACTGACGCTAAAATTTGGGGTCTCGATTTGAAATATAAGCCCTACTAAAATCCACATATACTCTTTAACTGTCAATTCTAGCCCTAAATCCTAACCCAACCTTAAAACAAAACGGAAAAAACACCCCAAAAATTTTTAAATTTTCATATCAATGCATTAGCCAACTTCTCAGCAATTAACCATAAAAAAAAAGCAACAAAAAAAAACCCTCAAAATTTTTAAAATCGTACACGATTTCACGATAACCCGCGACATTTATTACAATGAGCACATTTTTCACGAACGGTACATTTTATATTTTATTTTAGTTATTTATTTACTCGATCTTAAATTTAATCAAAAAAATTTTATGCTAACTAGTTAATGCAAGCAAATAGTAAAAATTCATAAACTTGTGAACTTGAATAGCTTATTTAAATTTAGATCAATACTTACGCATTGACAGATTGAAATTAAATAGTAAATATTCATTAACTTAGATTGCTTATCTTAAATACTTATACACTTGACTTGATAATATCAACCTATTTGGATTACTTATATATTCCTGCTGATAGGGATATTAATGAGTGATCATATTTTAAATCCATTTTATTGTTTAAGTTGATATTAATGCGGTTGATATTAACGAGGATCAAGTGTATTAATTATATTAATAGACTAAATTAACGCTAATAAAATAAAATTAAATAGTAAATATTAACTAACCTAAATAGCTCACTTAGATTAATAAATGTTCTTTATATTCACTTATTCACTGATTTGTTGAAGATGAATAGCTTTTTTCCAAATGTTTTGGGTTTTTTGAGAATCTTGTGAAGTTTGGAGAAGTTTGCGAATTTGTTGTCATTTATCAGTCTGTTTCTGGATAAGAATTCCTAAGTACAGATAAGCTTCAAATATTTTTATTTGCTTAGGTCAAATGCATTCTTTATCTCCTAATTGTTATATGATCTTAGTTAATTGGTCTTCTCAAGTTTTACTAATAAAAGGGTTTAGGTGAGTGTTTGATTGTGGAATTAAAATTTGTATTAATTTGTCTTGAACTTTTTAGTAGACTTCAATATCTGGTATAGTTTCTGGTTTGGGAGTAGTGGTTAAAGCCAAGATTAGTTTTGATATTTTGGTTTTTATGGTATTCAAGAAAATATTCATATTAGTAGGTTTAGATGGTGAGTTTACTGTGGTATTCACTAGTGTAGTAATATCACTAGTATTATTAAGGTTGTTAAAATTCTACAAGAAAATATTTAGGAACAAATCTTTAGATTGTTTTGGGCAGCAGAGTCTTGTCTTCAAATAGTAAAAAATATTGAAAAGTTTGGATAATTACAGATATTATTAATTATATATAAATTAGTGAATTTTTAAATAAATGGTTTATATACAGATCAAACAACTCTTTCCAATGATCCTTTGGTCAACAACAACAAAAATCAAACTACAGCAAAACGTATAGAAAAGCAATGAAGTGGATACTAAAACTTGGTCCTATAAGTAGGAGCAGCTTGTTATCGACAAAGTCTAAGCTGTCTAGGCATGAAATACTGAGAAGCGGGTGCCAAAAAGAATGGACGGTTTTCTTTGGAGTCAAGTTTTCTTTCTGGCGGACTTCCCAAAGTATTTGGCATCCAAACGAGAAGGTTTATTCTGGAAACAAGTTTGTAGAAGTAGCCAAAAGTGCACTCCTAAGTGGTAGAAATGGAGAAGCTGGACTATACAACTGTAAAACTTACAAGAAGAACCTCACATATTCTTGTTGGCCTACCACTTTTTTTCGAGGAAATTTTTGTAAAAAGTGGGCGTTTTAGCTTACCCCCTCCAAATAATCGATATCATATATACCAAACAAGTCGGCATTGTTTATCTTCTAAATCAGAACGTGACAACAAACACATGTATATACGTGCCTCAAATGCCATAGATATCTGTACAAATGATGCTCTGAAACTCTGTTTCGACCTCTCTATCTTAAGTCGGTCAATAAAGTTTTTCCTATCGGGTTTTTACTTTCGTATACTAGTTTAGAAAAACATAGAAGTAGAGACTAATTTGTCTAGTCAATATGTAATTTTTCAAAGCCACCCACAGGTTAATAACCATAGCATTAAGATTAGCAAATTTTTGTTTTGTTTTTGTTTTTTTTCGATATCCCTTTACCCCTTTTTTCATATTCTGTATTCTTTTATCGTATTCTCCTATATCTCTGTGTTTTTTTTAGTTTATTTGTTTTATTTTCTGATTTTGTTTTTTGATGAGCGAGTAGCCGCCAGCCGATGAACAATGAGAAAAAGTCTTTAGTGAGTTAAGGCCCCTGAGAGAGGCCAAGAGCTACTGAGGCAGGTCGCACCTGGTATATAAAATCACATAGGTGAGTTCTTCATTTGGTTGGATCTACTTTAGTTGGAGATAAATTACTTGTAATTTTGAATAACTTGATTCTAAATAAACAAGGGCAGAATAGCCGAATTAGAAAAAAAAAATAAATAGTTTATATATAATTTTTAAAGTTATATAATTATTTGTTTCACAAAATTTTGTCTTTATATTTTTCTGTTCAATAAAATTTCTTCTAGAAATCAAAGATTTTAATAACAACAATTGGTTTTTATGTTTGTTTCTTATTATATTTTGCTAATCAGTTACTATTATAATATTTTTGTAAAACTTTTTCTTCAAATATTTGAAGTTAATAAATATTATTATTTGTCTTTGCTTAAATAATGAAAAATCTTTCTCTTTTATCTTCAAATTTAGCTGATTTTGACTTCTTTAAAACATTTAGTTGTATTTAAACTTTTTATTAATTTGAAATTTTTTCAGTTTGATTCTAGCATCAAAATATTTTTTTTTTGTTTCTATTAAAACTTCATGATATTAATTTAAGCTTTTTTTTTATAATAAAGCTTATTTTTTCAATTAGTTTATAGGCTTGTTGTAATATACTATCCTGTAGATTAATTTCTATGTTGGGGTCTAGTATAGGTTCAATAGGAATAATAGTTTCTATTAGTAGAATAGAATGTACTATATAATCAGTAATAGTATGTTTTTTGGTTCAATATACTAAAAAAACAGCAAATATATACAATTTCTATTTATTAGTTTCTTTAACCTTGGCAAGTAATCTGGAGAAAAAAGGATTCATGCAGAATACTAGAGGATGCCTACTGATCCTCCCAGGATATCTGAATTGGAAGTTTAGGGTGCCGACGGTTGGTATCGAAGTACTGTTGATAGTCCGTAAAGTGTGTGCTGAGGTTTGGGTGAACTTTGCAAGGGCACAAAGTAGATAAGGTAGTGGAGATAAAAAGCTGCAAGTACTTGGCCGTGGCCTAGGCACAAGTTACTGAAAATCTAGGTAATACATGTATAGAACATGGACTGCTCTGGTAGGTTTACCATGCAGATAAAGAACCTCCCTATATGGTAATATGTATCTGCTTTAAAGTTCTAAGGGGCTTACACAGCAGTTCTTTTTTGGGAAAATATTCCGACAGCGCTAAATTAATCAAAGGATTTAATTGAGTAACTCAAGTAATAGTAGGTTACAGGTATGGTATCTAGTGTAGTTTATATGGGTTACATATGCAAGACTGCTTAAATAGACAACCAAAAGTTGTATATATGGCTAGAATATATTCTCATTAATGTAACAAAGTCAGAAGTAGCCCATGTGGTTGCTTTAGCATTTGATCCAAAGTTCAATAAAACATGCCAGACCCCAAAGTAGTTACCTTAACATTAAAAAAAAAAAAACCTTGGCAAGTAATTGCAAAGTATTCTATTAAGACATTCAATCATTTTTTTTTAATATTAAGGTGATCACTTGAGGTCTGTCACATTTTATTAACTTTGGTTGCGAATGCCAGAGCAGCTACAGGACCACCTCTGACTTTGTTATATTAATGAGATTATATTCTAGCTATATCTGCATCTTTTGAGTATCTAATTAAGTATCTACTTATTACTAGGTTCTATATATCTATAACCCACTATTATTTGAGTTACCTAATTAAACCTCTGATCAACTTAGTATCATCAGATATTCTCCTAAAAAAGAACTGCTGTTAAAGCCCTTTAGAACTACTTTATTTTTGTAATAAACCTATTATAGTAGTCTATATTCTATATATATATTATCTAGATTTTTGGTACCTTATATCTAGCCCAAGGCCAAATACTTGCAGTATTTTACTTCCGCTATTGTTACTTACTCCTTGCCCTTATGAAGTTTACCCAAACACTAGC